CTTTGCCCTGTCTGATCATCTTCAGCGTCTGCTTGTACCCCAGCACATATTTTCCACTTTTCATGACAAGTTGGAGCCTAGAATTGATGAACTCCAGAGATTTTTTTTTCGTCTCTTTACAACCACCATCTTCCTGCCTTAGGTGCGGATGGCCCTCAACCAGGAGCAGCTGCCAAGATGGCCAGGGGGCAAGCTCCACTCTTATTTGCACCACTGCATATAGAAAATTACACTTGGCAGAAGGTACAAAAGTCCTGATAATAATTTATCTTTGTGAGACTCCTGAGTCCATAAAAATACCAAGTTCTTGAGATTAGGGACCAAATCTTTCTAGTAAAATAAATTCTAATGTATATCATCATAAATATACTCCCCAAAACACCCAGTCAATTAAGTACTAGGAAAATCAGTACACAGAGAGGTCTCACAACTTGCCCAAAGACACACAGTTAGATGAGGGATGGAATTCCAGCTCTGGTGGTGTGAGTCCACAAGCTATCCTAACCTGCATGACCCTGCATCCTTTCCTGCGATGGCCTTCATCCTGTCTGCACATCCCTACTGCACTTAGCAAAGGCTTCGGCACCTAAAGGCCACGTGCATTTGGTGTCACTGGATCCGTTGTTGGCAGCTCCTCAGGCCAGAGTGGGAACCAAGACAAGGGCTGGGCCACAAGCACAGCGCCCCAAGTCCCCAAGCTTCATGTAGTGGTGTGCGATTTCTCTCCATTTGGCTTTTCAGTTGGCAGACTGCTTTCTCTGCGGGTCTGAACTGCTATTTGACCACAGTAAAGATGATTTCATTTCCTTTCCAATTATTTTTGCCAACTGCTTCATAAGTGATAATTAATCACCTTGCAAGTTGTTTTTCTGGATCCACAGCATCAACTTACAAAATGTTAACAATATGGCTAGACTCCCCAGTTGACTAGAAACAACTAAATTTTAAGAATTGTCAGTGGGTTCTCTGCACTGTATGTAACTACCACTCACTCACATAGCGCACGTGAAATGCACAAGCTATGACAGCTGATGCAGTTTTGCTTTCTGTATTTTCTTACATTAAAAATACTAAAACCACTCTCTCTACTCAGTCCCATACAGTGGTGCTCAAAAACTTTTAAAAATTTATTTATTTTTACTGGTACATGTTTGCAGCACAGAATCTTTATACTCCTTGTGGGGAGTCAGTCCGGGGATGCAATCATCCCAAGTCCTCTTTTCATCCCTCTTCCTTCCCCCCCTCTCTCTCCTTCCAATGGTAAACGAAACAGGCACAGAAGCTCAAATATCATGTGGCTCCTCTTATATGAGAAACTCAAATTAATAGAGAACAAAGTAAAAGGTGGAGAATAGGAAGTAGAGAGAGAGAGATCTTTCTCAAATAGGAAAAGGATCCAAAAATTTTTACAATGAGGTTTTCAGCATCTTCTGAGAAGTCTTGTCATAGACCTCAACCATAAGACTACCCATCTAGGCCAGAATATTGTCTTGACAACTTTTCTTATTGAAAAATCATAATCCTTTGCATATTGCTGCAATCCAGGCCAGTGTTTAAAAAGGATGCACCCCTATGACACACCATAAAACTATGTGTGCCTTGCTTGTGAAAACTCAGTGGGGAGTGGTAGAATTTTGTTCAAGGAGACTGGGCATGGTGGCATGTGCCTGTAATCCCAGCTCCTGGGAGGCTGCAAACAGGCAGATCACTAGGAGTCCAATCTAGTAGTGAGATCCTGAACACCCATAAAAAAAAAAAAAGAATTTTGTTCAAGGAAGTCTTTGGCCAACTTCCCTGGTGTCAAATGCAGAACAGAAACAATGTGAACACAGAAATCTGATAGCTGAGGGTTTAAAATTCTTTTTGTTTCATTTACAAATGTATAAATGACCCTTAAGTAACATGTGTATTTAATGCCACCAAATTATATATTTTAAAATGGTAAATTTCATGTCATCTATATGTTACCACCACAAAAAGGAAATAATACACTTATTTATTTGAAGAGAGATAAAAGGCAAAATAGATTTATTCTTCTTTTTTAAGGAATTCATTTCCAGGCATGTTCCAAATCAAATCCAATTAAAATTTATTAGATTTCAAAAGTGTAAGACAAGACTTCAGAGCAGCCCCATTCCCTAAATAAATAGGCCCCAAGATGGACAGAAGCTCAAGTCAACTTTGAAATGACAAAGCTGCTGCTGATTGTTTCTGTAATCCTAATGACGGCCAAATGAATAAGAGCTCCTTAATCTTCCCCTGATGCTAATACACATGGTCAGAACCGCCAAGCTGGCTTTCACTCTGCTGTCTCAGCCCAAAGAAACATAGGATCCGAGACAGTGTTGAAAGAGCACGTCTCCAAGTCCTACTGATGCTCATCAGTCAGAACTACTGAGGTCTTATCGCAGCAGCTAAGAGAGTAGAATCAACTGAAGTGCCAGATGTGGCATTTATACACAATGGAGCATTTTCAGCTATAAAAACTGAAATCCTGTAATTTGCAGCTGCATGGATGAAGTGGAAGGCAGTAAGTAAACAGACTAAGCAGCAACAGAAAGACAGACAGCACACAATCTCACTGTGATGAGTGGAGGCTAGAAACGCTGGCATCTGGGGAGAACAGTGCAGCTAGAGAAGAGAGCTGGGGCGGGGGAATGGATGTAACAGGCTGGAAATGCAGTCAGAAGCAACAGGTTCTAATCTTTTCTAGCACCAGGGTAACTGTAGTTTACAGTAACTTTATTATACACAGAACTCCAAGAGAGAAGCTTGAAATCTCCCAACACAAAGAAATAATATCTAGTGAGATAAAAATGTAATTACCCTGATTTTTTGGTAACTACACATTGTGTAGATGTATCAAATTAGCACAGTGCATCCCATAAACATATGCAACTATTAATTTTTAGAAAAAATATTAAAAATTTGAAAGCAAGTATAAATTCTTTACTTGAGCTTTCAACTGACTTAGGAAAAGATTTTAGAAGTATTTATTATGACAGATGTATGAGAAACACAGTTTTCAAATATTCGCTTAGAGTGGCAACATACCTCACATTTGCTACCGGATCATGCGTCAGTTCAATAGCAGGTAAAAAGAAATATTTACAGAAAAATGATTTGGAAAAGATCTCTATGATAAATTCACAGGTGTCCAAAAATCGAAGTCTATTCCAGTAACTTTTTCCTTGGCCCAATTCTAGAAACAACAACAACAAATAAACCATACATTGACCTTTTTCCCCACATGAAATTACCCTTGATAAAATTAAACTCAAAATCCATGACAAGCTTATTTATACATACACCTTGTTTAATAAATATGAGAGGCAAAAATCATGTCATATATTCCAGATTTGTAGACTCCAAAATCATTGACATCTTGAAAACCAGCAAAAATCCATATTAACATTGTACTGAATTTAATAAACAGCACTTAACTACTGAAGATGAGACGTACTATTTTTTGATCACTCACTGAATGTTAAATTTTTACATATGGTATCTCATTTAACCCTGAAGAACAACCCATTAGGATGGATATACATGCCTGTTCCTTCCAAAAGCTAAGAACACTGAGATGCAGAGAGGTTAAGTTCAGCTAGAACTCAAATACAGGTCTTTCCAACTCCAAAATCTTTTACTAATCAAATCAACTGTTTTCTTCCTCTTATTTCCTTAAAAACACTTTGATGTGGATAAAGTCATACTAAACAGTATTACTGTCAATAATTCAGATCAATATTTACAGGATAATTTTCTCCTTTGTACATATACATGCAAAAGTAAAAATTTTTGACATTTAAAACTGAACAGAATTTTCTTTCAAAATAAAACTTATTGTAGATATCAGGTCTTCCCAATGGAAAATGAAAACTGAATTACAGTAGACAGCAAAAACAAAGATTAAAGTGTACTGAGTGCAACTTTTCTTAAATGAAAATCTATAAGGTACTCTAATTTTTTTTGAAAGTAACAACTTGTGCTTAAAATGATAAATTCTAATAAGTAGAAAACCCCATTATCTGCGTATGTTGGATATATTTTAACAAAAACTTTAAAACATTATAGTCAAACCAAAGGGTTAATATTTAACTCATTAAGCATGTCTAGGTATGAATCACTATTTTTAGAATTAACAAGTCATAAAATACCTTGTATTTATTTATTGATTGATTTTTTAATGTATTTGGTACAAGGTCATCATGATCCTCCTGTTTTCAGCCTCCTCAGCACTGGGATTACAGGCATGTGCCACCACACCTGGTCTTGGTGGCCAGCGCGGCATAGGGTACCCAGGATGGAACCCCGATCCCTGTGCTTGCCTAAGCAGGTGCTTAGTCCACTGAGCTATCTCGCTGGCCCTAAAATACCTTGTATTTAGATCCTAACAAATTCAAATGTATTTATATGTGCTAACTTGGTCTGCATAGGCATTTTTGTTCTCTTTTAAACAGCATTAGGGATCACCCCAGGGCCTAGTGTATGGTAGGCAGCACTATACTCCCAGCCCTCTGGCTTAGATTCCTAAGACGTTAAAACCACCGAGGCCTACCAGATTCACACTCATAGGCACTGTTGATTCTACTCAAGGAAAAAAACCCTATTCTACAAATTCTAGTAATATTGAAAACAATTTAAAGTAGGTAGTAATTTCATTAAAAAGTATTCTATTCATACCTTAGTTCCAAATGCTACCACATCAAGGTAGAAATCAGGCTTTCAATGTAAGTTTATGAATATTAATTTCTCAAAATGTTCAAGTTCACAAAAGAAAGCTGAGTAATTACTACTTTCATTCACCACAGACACGATCTTGTCATAAAGATTTCCAAAACAAACAAATTAAGCTACAAAACTCAAATTAAAGAACACACTAGATATATACCAACATCAGACTAATTACTCCTGGAAAAACAATACATAATGCAAGTGAGGTCTAAGAAAGGCCAAGCCAACTGGTTTGGTTACTTTCTCTTTTTTAAAATAAAAGACAATGATTACTTACGTTCAATCAATTTCTGAATGACCTCGTGTCTCTGCTCCTGTTTACGATTGTATCGTAGAAAAATGCACAGAGTTCGTGAAGCTGCTTTTTGGACAGGTAAGACATTCTTAAAGAAATAAACAAGAAATACCATTGTACTATCCTAATATATATTCTTAATAATTTATCCTCAGCATCAAATTAATGTATTAGTTAGAAGAAGAGTATTCACTGCCGTCCAGGTCAGTGAAGCACATGTTCACTCTCTGTGACACAGTGTTCCTATCACTCAGACAAATTAACTAATACCTCATGTTACAAGACTCATTTAACTTGGCAGTCAGGTCCAAGTCATCCAGATTTGGCTGTCACTTCCCTGCTACGTCTTCTGAAATGAAGCACTCCCCACACGTGCAGCAGTGACTCATTCTTCTAGCCCTGCCCTGAATTCTGACATCTATTCATTCAACAAACAGAACACGCTGGGAGTCACCTTCATCACCCCAATCAGGCCACTTCTATATGCAACTAGAGGTCTCGTGAGGGGATGTGCTCTTCATCTTCCTGAGTTACTTCTGGCTCTTCAACCTCAGTATTACTCCCTGAGATTTCTGGTCCATGACTAAAATCTGAAGGACACCACACTGATCACTCTTACCAGTATTCCAACCCCTTTGCACTTTGAATTCCTGTCAGACCACAGGGCAGAGCCTTCATTCCAAATGCATTCAACTATTTATTCTTACTGGATGTGGATTCAAACCATGGATTGAGAAACTCTCTCAGCCAGGCACACTGTGTCCGTCACAAGTTTAGGCTCAGCGTCCTGACATACTGACACTATAGTATCAGTAACCAAAGACGCAGTTTTTCTACTCAGGATCCTTGAAATGGGGAGGGCTACTTCCTGTAGAGATACAACATCCAAAGGCAGAGTACAGGTCTTAACCAGGACCTGTGCAGGACAAAACAGCTCTAAAGTACTTTTGGGAGCTGACTGGTAAACTCTTTTTTCTTTCTTTTTTTTTTTTTTTTTCAGAACTGGGGATTAAACTCAGGACCTTGTGCTTGCCAGGCAAGCACTATATTCTACTGAGCTATCTCCCTGGCTCCACCAGTAAACTCTTAATATGGACTGGTTATTATATGACACTAAAGAATAATTCTTTTGCCATGTCCCCAGTACAACATAAAAATGAGATAATATCCTTTGTCTCCTTATGTTCGCTACTGTATTCCTGGCACCTGAAATAGCACTTGGAACATAGTCAGCACCCAATAATTTGAGGGGAATTTTCACTTAAAAAAAATTATTAGAAGAAATTTTTATCATGAGGCTGAGCCAAGAGGATTTCCCCAAGTTCAAGGTCAGCCTGCACTACATAATATGTTCAGAGCCAGTCTAAATTACATAGCAAGACTCTGTTTCCAAAAAAATGTATTTTATTAATACACATGAGTACACATTAGTATTTGTTTGCCATACATAGTAATCACATTCATCATGTGGAATTTGTGTATACATATTATACCTTAATCATTTTTCCCATTCCTCTCCCATTCCTTCAACCCTTCTTCCTCTCCCCATGTACAAAGCTTTGCTTTTATATTTTTCATCCATTCTCTTTCTATAAATCCCTCCTCCCTTCTCTCTTTTCTCCTTTTCCCCTCCCTTGTTCCCTTCCCCATTTGAACAAGTTCTTCCTACTTCCCAATATCAATCTTCCATTTAAGCAACTGATAAATTCTGTTAAATGAATGAATGAATAAATGAATATTATGGTAATTAGGTAGGGAACTAAAATATAAAAGTTCCCTTTGAACACAGAAAGTTTTCTGTAGTAACCAGGAATTTGCTTTATTTTTTTTATTTTTTATTGAGAAATAAATATGAAGGAGACAGTTACACAGCTGATTAATAGGACAGTTTTGATAGTCAATACACTGTACATTGTTATCTTCTTAGTGGTTATCCATAGTACAAGCAGCAGACAGGATATTCTGT